TATTCAGGGCGCCAGTGAGAGCTTGCTCCAGCCGCTCTCTAAGGTCCAGGAGTTGACCAGCTGCTTGCGCGCAGAAGCCAGCACACTTTCCGATCGTGTCGGGATAGTAGAGGCGGCTCGGCACGCAGCTTGCAGCGCTGCGGGTGGGCTTGCCACTGGCGTGGCGCGGTCAGAGTCCTCGCACTCACCTGGTCCGTCTACTGCGCGCAGGTAAGGCGGGGCATGCCACAGGCAGGGCTGCTCCTTCATCCACCTCCAGGGCCGCGATATCGATGGCCTGCCATTTAGCTACGCCAAGTTCGACGAGGTCGCTTATGAGGCCGAAGTTTGCGAGTATCTGGAGGTGCTCGAGTCGCTGGTTCACCGTGACGTGCCTCCTCAGCCACCTATTGATTGACTGGCTAGATCTACTTGGGCAGTTTTCTGTTGATGTTATATGGTATTCAGTGTCTTTTGGCTGGTTTGCACATCGATGGCGCCGTAGATCCGGCCTTCAGATCACATTCCTTCTCCACCTGTTCTTCTCCTTCCTGCGCTTTTCCTCGCGGCTTCGGAATCCCGCTGCCTGGCGAGCTGGGTGCCCTTCGGGCTTTGTGCTGGGGTTGGCCCGGGTCAATCCCCGAAGGGGGACGCTGATACAACTGGGCCCCCAGACGGTTTTGGTGCAACTGGGCCCCCAGGCGGCGCCGACGGCTCGTCTGCCTCGCGGTCTGCTGGGTTTGTGCACGGCTATTCGCTCCGCTTCCCATTCTTCTTCCTGTGCTTCTTCACTTGCGAGGATATCATGTAAAGGGTATCCGCCCACTTTCATTCCCCGCCGTGCGGGGTGCGGGGTTTCAGAAAGCGAACATGCATGCGTAACGCCGTACCTCCTCCTCCCCCCCCCTCCTCCTCGGAGGGCGCCGTCGGGGGCAAATGTCGACACCCCCCTCTTAGCTGGCCCTTCCACGGTTGTCGGCAGAAGGCGCGGGCCTTGTCTGTAGATGTAGTGCACGCGCCTTCTGAGAAAGAAAGAGGCCTCTTTCGAAGAAGCCTTCCCTACCCCTGCACCTTTGTGCGCGCCGCCAATTCTTTCCCACTTGTGTAGTGCGCCTCTACCCTGCTCTGCCCGTCTGCAGTCCACCGCGCTGGCGCGCGGGCTTGCCGCTTGCCGCCGGCATGTTTTTTGAATCCTCCCTCCTTTTCCCCCTGCTCCCTGCCCGCTATCTCCGCCTGGCCCCTCTGCCGCTTGTCCGCCCGCCCCGCTGGCCCTGGCCTCCCGCCTGCGCGTTCGTCGTCGTTTGCCTGCCCACCCCCTTTCCCTTCCGCCGGGCGGCGCAGCCTGCCCAGGACCAGCGTGGCGGCGCGTAGGGCGCGATCGGCGCACCGCGTAGATTGGCGCTGCGCTGCTTTTGCTTAATTCGTCTCTGCGTAGCCCGCTTCGACCTGACTCGCCGCCGGCGCGCTCGCCCGCGGCCGCTGACTAAAAAGTAGATTGGCGCTGCGCCCCACTTTTCCTGTCAGAAAATTGCACCTGCATGAACGTTCTGATCTCCGCATGAAGCCCCGTAACTTCATGGATGCACAGCTTGTTCTTCCTCGAACTTGTTCCTTTCCACCTCTGCCTCCTCGTCCTCCTCCTCCTCCTCCTCCTCTTCTTCCTCCTTCATTTTTGCTGCGTGACCGCAAAGGTAGCTCTACTCAAGGTCTTGGCGGCTGCGTCCGCATGATGGCCCGCCCAATTTCGGCGCACTCCTCGTTTTGGGAAAGCGTTGGTTTCTTCGCAAAGTTTAATGTTCAACATCCACACGGTGACAGCACTGTGGCACCACCTCTGAAATGGTGCCGCCGCCAAAAAATCTGAGGAGCACGCCCGAAGTCCAGGGGAGACCCTGCAATGCACGGGTTCCGGCGGTGCCGATGTCTCGAAGGAGAAGACGAGGAAGGACATGGAGGAGGAGGGGGAGGCGGAGGCGGAGGAGGAGGAGGAGGAGCAAGAGGAAGGAGGAGGAGCAAGAGGAAGGAGGAGGAGGAGGACGAGGAGGAGGAGGAAGAGGAGGAGGAGGACGGCCAGGAGGAGGAGGAGGAGGAGGAGGAGGAGGAGGAGGAGGAGGCAGGGGAGGATTTGTCGTTTTCTGGATTCCGGAGCCGGTGTTTCGCAGCGGCGCTCTCGGCCATCCCTGGGCCTTGCGCCAGATCTTGCCGCAAGAGACCCTGTCACATGTTCATAGATTTCGGGCGTGTTTTCCCTGACTGTCCTGAGCTGTTGGGTCCTCGCTTTGAAGAGGGACCGCCCCGTGTCACTCCTTCCTCATCCCGCTGCCCTCCCCCTCCTCTCTCCCCCCTCCCTGTCTCTGTCTTCCGCATGCATCCCTGGAAGGTAGCACATAGCGTTCCCCAGCAAATGAGGGCACCCCCCTCACGCGTTTAGCTGCCCCATGCGCACCTCTCACGCGTTTCGTGGTCCCACCTAAGGTCCCAGTGGTTGGCGTCTACATGCGGCTCCCCTCGATTTCGGCACTCCCCTCAGGCACTTCGTGGCCCCATAGGGAGCTCTGCCAAAGGCCCCAGTGGATACATCCGCATGCGGCTCCTCGCCCATTTCAGCACTCCCTCATACGTGTCGTGGCCCAACAGGGATCTCCACCCAGGGGTCCCAGTGGGGGCGTCGACATGAGGCTCCCCGCCAAGTCTTGCACACCCCTCACACGTTTCGTGGCCCGATAGGGAGCTCCACCCAAGGCACCCGTGGGTGCGTCCACATGCGGCTCCCCGCCCATCACCCCTCACACCCTTCGCGGCTCCATAGGGAGGCCCAGGGAACCACCGTGTGCGTCCACATGCGGCTCCCCGCTCATGGTGGGCTCCACGCGAGGCCCTAGTGGGTGCGACCGCAGAGCCTCGGCCCTCAGAGGTTTCGCTCCCAGTGGGTTCGTCCACATGCGGCTCCCAAAGCATGTCGGCACACCCTTCACGCATTTCGGGGCCTGTGCATCCCTCTTCGCGTCTGCCGCATGCCGCGGCCGTTTTTTTTCGATTTTGACTCCATGCGAGATCCGAGACGGGCTCCATGAGAGATCCGAGGCGCGAAATCACATCTGCCCGGTGGGGGCGGGGTGGGGGGCCTCTGGGGACCGCACACTGAAAGAACACATGGTCAGAGATCTGGGATGGATCGTGGCACATACAGCCGGCCCGGATTAGCAGGTCGACCTTGCCAGCTCCAGGGTACCCTGGTGTCCTGTGCCTCGCGGCACGTGCCTTCTTATACTCCAGTGGCGATGTGGCCTTCGGAAGGGTCTTGTGTCCTCTCGCGTGTCCTCTCCGATGAAGTCCGACGGTAGCCGTTTCGAGGAAGCGGGTCCTGGAGGTTCCTCGTGCCGTGTGTTGGGCCCCGGAGAGCATCCCTGGGCGCGAGAGGAGCGGGTCCGGGGGAGGTCTCCCGTGCACTCCCGTGCGACCACGGCCAGACGCAGCTCGAGACACGGGAGGGACTCCGGGAGAAGTCTGGGGGCCACTCTTGCCGCAGACACGCTCACGCTGTGGAGGGCGATTACTGGAGAGGGAGCATGCTGCCAAATCGTTTCCAGATGTCAAATAGACGTTTCAAGCATGTCCTAACTACGTTAGGAACATGTTTGAAGCATGTGTTGAGCATGTTTTACACATTTCAAGCACATCTTCAACTCAATGATAGGATTGTTAGAGTGTCCATTGTCATGGCATCCACAACGCTAACGGCGATGCAGGTAACTGCGATATAGTTGTCGGTATTCTAGGTGGGGGTGGTTCGTGGCCAACCCATTTGTAGAGAAGCGCTCTTCGTGTCTTCCTACGTTTTGCTATGCGCGAGTTCGGCGTAGCAAAAACCATATTCCCAACATCGCTGCAAACCAACATCGCCATTAGCGTGGCCTTGGACTTGAGCGCATTTTGGAGGATCGCCATGGCGAAACACATCGGTGGTCTTGAGGGTCGTGTGTCCTGTGGGTCTTCGCTCTGCACGAGCTGACCAGGGCCCTCCTCGGACCCCGTCAACAAAAGCGGCTCGGGATGAGAAGCTGGTCCTGGGGTAAGCCCTGTGGCCAAGGATCGGGAGGACCGGCATGGGGACGGAAAGACTTAGCACGAAAATTGGCAGCAGTCCCTGCCCATTTGAGCTGGATTCGCTGCCAGCGCCGCCGCGGTCACTTCCACTCGAGAAACACGGCGCCAGCCCACCAGCGGCCGCTGCCGGTCTTAGACAACAGTCGCTGCTCTAAGACCTCCGACGTCGTGATTTGTCGCAGTGTTGACTCCTGGAGATTTGTAGGGAACCGAACTCTATAGTTACACCGACGTTTTTCCGGCCCTGCACTGAAATTTACACAGGGAAGCGGATCCTGGCGTATACGGGATCCTGGTGTATACGTTTTCGTCGTTTCTTCGGGGAACGGAAACAAGAAGTATACACCATACCACCCCGACGTCGTCCCCGACCCTCGAACAATCCTTAGATGGAAAAGCAGCCATCCACTGGTAATGTGTATGCTCCAGTTTCCGAGTGCGGGCCGCATCCCCAGGGCCGGGCGTTCCCCCCGAACGGCCCCAGGGCCGGGCGAGGGCCCGCAGAGACGAGAATCAGCGGACGGCAGCGTCCGTCGCGTTATCTTTGTTGCACGACGCGAGGGGGCACGGGCCCGGCAACGTCCCCAGCAGGGGTGGACCCAAACGGTGTTCTGGCGATCTCGTGGGCCGTTTGCGTTTCGATCTCGTTGTGCGCTGAAGGCGGATTGAAGACAAGACGAGGGAGAACGAAAACAAAACGAAAACGAAACACACCGTTTAGGTTCAGCCCTGGTCCCCAGCATCATCCCTGGCCTTTCCGCCCCCAGCTCGGGCGTGCCAATGGGATCCGCTCCCCTCGTGGCCCCGTCCCCTCGCGCCAAGAGGCCCTGCCGCGGCGGAGGCAGCCCAGGGCAGAGCCCCTCGATGAGGCCTGCGATGCCACCGCGGCCGCCACCGGGGCCTTCCGCCTGCACATGGGGGACCTCGCGATCTCCGAGGTCATCGGGGGCCCCCAAGCGGCGCGGTGACCACACCGTGCGGTGAGTCAGTGGGGATGTGGGATGGCCGCACGTCTTTAAGACTCGGGTCGCCCCTGGGGGTCGTCTCGGGCGACTGGGGCCTCCGAGGTTCCAAACCCGTGCGGCGACGGAACGTGCGGTCAGGCCTTTCTGGGGGGTTCCGGCTCACTGCACGGTCTGTCACCGCACCGTTGTGGGACCCCAAAGAGTCGACAGCGCGCCGAGGGGAGAAGTGAGAGGGGACAGGCTTTCTCATAAGAAGCCCCTTGCGGCTTCGGAGAAGGCTCAGAAAGTTTCTCAGAGTGCCAGGGGCCCTCCGAGCCGTCTGAGAAGGTCCACCCCATCCTGACCTCCCCCCATGGGCGGGCCGCCGACAGAGGTATTCTACCAGCAGCTGCGCCAGAAGCCCGAGGACGAGCTCAGCGTGCGGGAGTTCGCGGGACCAAGAAATGTACGCCACCACCACGACCTCTTCCATTCTTCCGCCTCCCGCCCCCAGAATCCTCTTCTCCCCCTCGTTCCTGGGAGGAGGAGGAGGAGGAGGAGGAGGAGGAGGAGGAGGAGGAGGAGGAAGAAAAGGAGGAAAAGGAGGATGAGGATGAGGATGAGGAGGAGGAGCAGGAGGAGGAGGGGGAGGAGGAGGAGGGGGAGGAGAAGGAGAATGAGGAAAAGGAGGAAAAGGAGGAGGAGGGATGAGGGTGGTGGTGGTGGTGGTGGTGGTGGTGGTGGTGGTGGTGGTGGTGGTGGTGGTGGTGGTGGTGGTGGTGGTGGTGGTGGTGGTGGTGTACGTGCGTTGGGCCCCCCAGGAGTGGGTGCAGCTCCGCTTCCACGAGGCCCGCGGCGCCCACGGCGCGGAGGCGGAGCGGCTGCGCCGGGAGGTGGACGCGCTGCGGGAGAGCGTCGTCTCGCTGCGCCTGCGCGCCGAGCGCGCGGAGAGGCTGCTGCAGCAGCGGGAGGCGGCGGCGCACGAGCTCGAGCGGGAGCTGGAGTCGGCGCTGGGCCGCGAGTCGGCGCTGGGCGCCCAGCTGAGGGCCTGCGAGGCCCGGGCGGCCGAGCTCCACGACAAGGGGCTGCGCTTCGACGACGCGGCCCAGGAGGTGGAGCGGCTGCGCGCGGACTCGCAGGGCCTCCAGGCGGCGCTCGCCGCGCAGAGCTCCGCGCAGCAGCAGCTGGGCAGGGAGAGGGCGGACGTCTCCGAGAGGCTGCTGCAGCTGGAGTGCGAGCACAGCTTGCTGAAGAAGGACGCGGAGGCCCACGAGAAGAGATGCCGGGCACAGGAGGAGCAGCTGCGGCGGCGCGAGGAGGAGGCCGCGGAGCTCCGGGCCAAGGTGGAGTCGCTGAAGGAGAAGAAGCGCGAGCTGGTGCGCAAGGCCGAGGCCGAGCAGCAGAGCGTCACCCAGGAGTTCCGCGACAAGGTGGACGCTGAGATCAGGAGGCTGCAGGAGCAGTCTCGGGCGGAGCTGGAGGCCGTGCGCACGAACCTCAATGCCCTCCACGAGAGGGAGATCCGCATGCTGCAGGAGCGCGCGGACGCCGCAGAGGCGAGGGCGCTGGAGACGCGGCGCCGGCTGGAGGACGAGGAGCACGCGCACCAGGCCCTGCAGCTCTCCGCCGGCCGCACGCGCGCGGAGCTGCAGAACGAGATCACGGAGCTCACCGGCGTGCTCAAGTTGCGTGCGTTCGAGGCCCAGCGGGCCACCCTCACGCACGAGGAGGTCAGCTGCGCGAGGCAGCAGCTGGAGGCCGAGAGCGAGGCGCTGAAGCAGCAGGTGGAGGTGCTCAAGAAGGAGTACTACATCCTGGAGGTGCAGCACCGCGAGGGCCGCGCGGCGGAACGCGCGGAGCTGGCGTCGCTGCGAGAGCAGCTGCACGGCTACGTGGAGGTCGAGCGCGAGCTCGACGCCGCCATCCGCGCCTGCGCGGACGACGGGCCGCCGGCAAGCGTCGACGAGGCGCTCCTGATCGGCACCACCCTGGCCAGCGCGCCCACTAGCTCGCAGAGGCGCATCCAGCAGTCCCTCCTGCTGGCGCACGAGCTGCAGCGGCGCACCAGGGAGGCGGCAGAGTCCCGCCACTCGCTGGGCCAGGCGCAGGCGGAGGTCGTGCAGCTCCGCGAGGAGCTCGAGGCCGCACGCCAGGAGATGCAGTACACCTCGGAGCCGCAGGCCTACCTCCTGGACGCGCTGCGGCGGCAGCAAGAGGAGCTCCTCGCGCTGCGGCGGGACGCGAAGGCCCGCGACGCGGAGCTGCAGCGGAGCCGCCAGGCGGCGGAACAGGCCGTGGCCTCGAAGGCGCAGGTCGAGGAGGACCTCCGGCGGCTTCTGGCGCAGCGGGAGCACCTCGCGGGCCTCCGCGCGCTGCTCGCCCACAGCGACGGCGCGGCCCCGCCCTCGGCCGCGGCACGGGCCGCAGAAGCCGCCGAGGAGACGGCCGCGCGCGCAGAGAACCGGGGCCGGGCGCCGAGCCAGGGGGCGGCTGGCCAGGCCTCGATCTGGGCCTCCCAGATGGTGTCGGAGCAGATGGGGTCGGAGGGTCGCACCGCATCGCCGATGCATCGCCGATGCGGCTCGATGTGGGGTCCGACATGCTTCACGTCGACGTCATCGATGCATCGCCGATGTCAACGATGCATCGCCGGTGCATCATCGATGCATCGCCGATGCAACGCCGGAGTATCGGCGATGCGGCGCGATCCTCCGACCCCATCTACGCACTCCGACCCCATCTAAGAGGCCTCCACCTCGAGGATCCGAGGAGGGCGTGCTGAGACACAGTCGGCCCTGATTAGGAGGTCGGCCTTGCCAAGTCAAGGGCACCTGTGTCCTGTCTTTAGGGGACCCGTGCCTTCTACATTCTGTGGCAATGAAGCCCTCGGAAGGGTCCTGTGTCCTCTCGCGTGTCCTCTCCAATCGAGCCCGACTGTAATTACGGCAGGTTCGCGCCAGAGCCAACGTCGGGGTCGACACGTTACGAACCCGCGGTCGTTGGTCTTCGGGGGGCCCCCTTCGTCTTCACGGCAGGACGCAGCTCCGCAAACGTCCGTATCAGACAACCCAGCATCACAATTATACGCCTCAAGTGTTCAATGCTCTTTTTCGCAAGCGGCGATGCGAAGATGAGTTTCCTCTGCCAGGCGGTCTTTGCAGATGAGTTATTTCAGAACGTTGCCTACGAACTCCGCGCCCGCCAGCCCTGCTTGGAACGAGACCGGCCTTCGGGATGCTCCGCCGATGCAGTGTTCCGACGGAGCGAGGGTCTGGCCTGGGTGCGGGGGGAAGCGGAGACCGACTGTGCCGGTTAGAGAGGGGTTAGCCGGGGGGGCGAGGTCGCCCCGAAGTTCGCCCCTCATGCTGCCTGCCAGCGCTGGGGTGGGCAGAGGGCAGAGGACCAGCTATGCGCAGAGGGGGGTAGAGGGGGGGGGAAGGCTTCTTAGAAGCACCCCAGCTTCCAAGGAGCAGCCTCCTGCTGTAGATGTAGATGTAAGGATGGCGCCGCTCTGAGAAGCCTTTCCCCCTCCTCCTCCCCCCTGGTGCGCGCCGCCAAGAGGGGGCAGAGGGGGGCTGGGGAAGAGCCTCACTCCTCCCTCCCCCCATGCTTTCCCCCTCTCCCGTGGCGCTCCAGTGGGGGAAGGGTGAGGGTGGGCGCGCGACGAGGAGGTTTGTTCACGCGAGGCCCCGTGCGGAGAGCGTGTAGTTGTGATCCTGTGTCGTTTGATGATCAAAACAAACTGGTGCGGTTGGGTCTCTGGAGGGGTCCAGGGACCTGTCTTGAGCTGCCGTTGACTCAACTCGCCCTGCTCCGAGATGAAGACAGAAGAAGCAGGACCGGCACAAGCATCAGCGCTCGGCGGAGATTTCTCGGATCCGTGTTGGGCCCCCCTGGCAGCACCGCCCCTGGCGCTGTGCCCCTGGCGCGCTCAGGGAGGGGGGTGCTGCGCCGATCCCAGAAATCCGCGCGGGGTTCCGACCGTTCTTGCTCGTGCAGTTGTCGTCCTTCCTCGAAGGCCGCGCCGCGCCAGGGGGCAGCCGCCGACGCGCCCCTGGGCGCCTCCTCCGCCGGCGCAGGAAGCACGGCCCTGGGAGCAGGGGGGCCAGCCTGGCTGCAGCGGCTGAGGGCGAAGGGCCTGTCGGATCCGCCCGCGGTCGACGTCCCCGTCGTCCTCGGCCAGTGAGGCGCGCGCACCGCGGGGGCTCGTGCGCGCGCCGCCTCAGGGGTGAGGCAGCCTCGGGCGGCCCAGCAGTTGCTTTCTCGCTTTCTCTCTCCCTCCCTGTCTCCCTCTCTCTCCCTCTCTCTCTCTCTCTCTCTCTCTCCCACGGTGGCCGGCCAAAGGCCGACCCCCGTTCCCGGAGTGGTCCCCCTCGTGTCCACAGGCCTGCAGATTGACAGACTGAAGGTCGTTCCCATTCCCCTCTTTCTCCTCTCGAAGAAACAAGGCGCGCGGACTAGCGACGGGTCCTGCTTTCATGCGTAATCGACAGGCTGCGTCGCCAAATGCTGCGGATCTGGTTTTGTTCTCTGGGGAGTCATTTCTCAGATCCGTGGATGTGGCGCCCGCTCACCCAGATCCACGGATCCATAATCCATGTTAGGGTGTGCCTGGCGCTTTCTATTTGCAGCAAAATCCTTCCACCTCCCGACCCGACCTACAATTAGGGGCGGAGGAGGTGACAATTGTGGCGCATCACCGTCGAGCACGCTGTGTTGTTGCACTATGTTGGGGCGGCTTCACTGGCAAGATATTGGTGTTCGAATTGTTCGTTGGAGTTCGGGTTGCAGTGCCAGTGCCGTCTTCTTGTTACTCAACCAGTGGCGAAGCGTCCTGGCGTGCCTATAGGCCTACCAAACAATGTTCTAAGTTTTTTGTGGTTTCCACGAAATCGTCGTATGGCATGTCTGGATGGGACTGTCTTGTTTTAGCACATCGGGCTTATGTTCTAAGCACATTGTTTTTGTTTTAGATCATGATTGGGTTCTAAGCAAATCTCTTGGTAGGCATATAGAAATACTGGGACGGTCGGTCCCTGCTTAACTTGCGCGTGGAAGCCAGAAAGTGACTGAATGCTGATGCTCGTTTCATCATGCTGTCTAGCGTTCTTCTTCACATGATGGGGCCGTCGTTGGGGCTATTGTGAGTCTGGGGTTGTCGTGATCTTCCAGGTGTTCGTGAGCATGGGGCGTGTTCGATGCTCGTTTCGGGAGTGCTCGATCCACCATTCACAGGAAAGGACAGCAAGGGGGCTGCGCGAAATTTATTTACAGAGGGTTCGGTTTGGTATGGGCGCACGCAGTAGAACAACAGAAGGTTCCTGATAATCGGATCCGCGCTTGCGAAGCAGGGAACACAGACACGGAAGCTGCGCGGAATTGTTTGGACGCTGCTGGGCCCCCCTGGTGGTGCCTCTTGCGCTGTCCCTGGCGCGCTCCGCGCGCCAGGGAAGGGAAGGGAGGGGCAAGAATTTCGCGCCGACCTCGGGAAGTTTCCGTTCATGCTGGTTCTTCTCCGAGGTCCTGACCATCTTCAGCGCAGCGAGGCCTACCGAAGTCAAGCTATGGCGGCCGCGCCAGGGGAAGCTTTGTGGAAGCTGGGGCAAGTGTAGGTTCTACCCTCGGGGGAGTGAGCGCTGTTGCGCCAAAGGTGTTCGGAGCCGGCCATGAGAGACCTGAAAGTCGGAACGGAGCCTTTACCTTTTTGGTCCCAGCTCAAATACACACATCTATATATATATATATATATATATATATAGTCGTCTGCTGGGTGTGCTGCGCCAGAGCCTGAGGAACACGTAGCAACGCCAGGACCCACGTTGCGCGTTCTCTTCCGCCTGTCTGTTCGAAGGCCTAGCGGCCGGTGCCGCCGACCTTGAAGGGGGACGGCGACGACGACGGCGGCGGCGACGGCGGCAGCAGCGAAGACAACGACGCTGACGCTCTGGAGCCGTTCTTTGGGCTGTCTCGACAGCCTCTTGCGCTCTGTCGGGGCTTGGGCTGGGGCCGCGGCTGGGGCTAGCGCCAGGGCCAGGCTGTGGCCGGGTGTTTGTTGTGTGTTGTTTTTCTCTCTCTCTCTCGCTCTCTCTCTCTCTCTCTCTCTTCCTCTCTCTTAGGAGGTGGAGGAAACGAAAGAAGAGGAGAAGGAGGAGGAGGAGCAGGAGCAGGAGGAGGGGGAATAGAGGTACCATACCTGAGATGTTGAATGCTTTCCCGTTCGCGGTCCCCAGACCTCTACAACCCTTCTTGAGGTCCGCATCCTCGTCCCAAATCGTTTGTGGTGGCCCCTGAGCCCGAATATGGCCCCCCGCAGGCCGAAATCTGCCAAAAGCCGCCGCCCGGATTTTTCGCCATACGTCTTCAACCCTCCCCAACTTTCAACGTTCGCCCTTTTGGCATATCCCCCCTCCCCCCCTTATCTCGAGCCCCCGCCGGCCAGAGGTGATGAGCGGCTTCGGCGGGGGCGGCAAGCAGGAGGACCAGGCCAGTCACAGGCCAGTCGCGAGCAAACTGGAAGTTGGAAAAGCAAATTTAGGCGCTGGCCGACATTACCTTCGATTCACACTATGTTGGGATGCTGCGGTTTGCGCTTCAGGGGGACGCGCCGATTTTGGCCAGATCTCGAACCCCGCAGGTGTCCTGATCAGATGATCATGCCCCCTTCGGTGCCCGCCCCTTCGCAGAGCTGTGGTGCGAGCAGGGGTGTAGCAAAAGTGCCGGTCGCCCAGTCGATGCCGCCCTTGCACGTGCGCCTCGTCTGGCCGTCCTCGTCCTGAGATCCTCGACTGGAGATCCCTGAGCTGCGGGCCCGATGCCGTTGCAGCCGTGCCCACGCGAACGTCAAAGGGCCTTGCGCACTCAACACGGATGCTGACTGCAAGCATCAGCTTCAAGTATCGCTGCGCAAGTAGCTCTGCCGCGTCTCGACTGTTGCTATCCGACGCCTCGTCACCTCGCCGACGACCAAAACAAGCGTAAGTTTTTTTCAACGACGGCAAATTCCCCCCCCCGCGCGGGGACCCCCTCCCCGCCGCCGATGCGGGGCGTTTCCAGCGCCGCCCCTTGGCGCGCATGCTCTGCACGCTGCAGACGGGATGGATACTCGGAGAGGGCGCAAGCAGAACTCTGCCGTCGACGGGCCAGTCCTGAGCCCGCTGTTCGTGACGCGTTACGTATCCGACTGGTCCAGTCAGGATCGACTCCTGGGCGAGTTTCCGCTGTTCCCTTGACCCTGGGATTTCAAAATCACTCGGCGACACATGAGGGGGGGCAGTCTTCCTGATACCGTCGCGCTCCCGTGCCAAAACGTTTTCGATGAGCTGGAAGACCTCAACAGGAGGCGAACAGTTCATGAGCCAATCATTGAACCGATCGTTCCCTGTGACTATCTTGGGAGCCTCGTGGGGGCCTTTGGGGCCCTTCTGAGTCTCCTTGACACTCCACAGGGGTTTCGTTCCCTCTGGGAGGCCT